GGAAAGGCTGGGTGGCCTTCTGGAAATACCACAACAGTGATGATATATGTGAATATGTCACATCTTCTACAGCTGGTAGCCTTCACAAGATTTTTTTATTTTTTTTTTTTTAATGAAAGCCTTTAAAATGGAGAACACACTAAAAGTACTTCTCTTATCTCCCCAGCATTTGTCTAGTTTGTAATACATTCTTAGAGCTTCAATCTTCTAGAAAACAAGTCTATCTAATGCATTTTATGTCTGCATTTTGATTGCAAGAGGGGTAAATAAACAAGACTTCAGTGCAAACTGGGCCCCAAGTTCAGGTATGAATGAGAAAGATGTTTTTCAGTCGCTAACCAAAACACAATGAGAAAAGGTAGCTGATCTAACAGGTACAGCTTCATGATCTACACTAAAGCGTCACGAATGTAAAACAGATTTGCCTCATTGAAATAATGAGATTTCTGCTGATTTATTCCAGATGAAAATCCAGTCTACAGATCTTAAAGAAAGAGTGAAGGAAGGGCCCAATAGCTTGGAGCTCTCCTAATGCTGACACTTCTACAGAAAATAATCTTTGTGTTATCTGCAGAAGCAAAAGGGTGGGTTCTACTTAAATCTGCTTATGAAGCAGAGCAGTATTTTGCAGTTTGTCTACTTATCAAAGCAAATGAGTTCCCTTTGTTGAAAAACGGGACCATTTTCATGCCAATTTCTCACTCATACTTGAAACAATGTTTCTAGTAGCAACCATAAACGTCCTCTGTCATAAAACTTACACTAAACTGTTACCTAAACCTACAGAAAACGGGAAGTTAAAGCACAATGAATTGCTCTGTTTGACTGACTTGTTATTAAAACTCCTATATATTGCTCAGATCTTGCCATGGTGGATCAAACACGCCTTCAGTTCTATACCTTGCTTTGATCTCTGCAGACTACAAAGCCAGGTTTCCCGTCAGGAGAGAGGGATGTAAAGTATTCTTCACCATTCATTCAGCTGTGTAAATGAGAGTTCAGAAGGTAGCACAAACCCATAGCTTTTCTGTTATTAAAATCATTCAAACCACCAGAAAAAAAAGTATTCTGCAACAATGCTGTAAAAGCATCTGATGGAAGGCTCCAATACAAAAGGCTCTCAGAATTAAAACTCTGAGAGATCCCCAGCTTTCTCTATTCTACTATTCTATCTTTCTCTATTCTACTACTAACTACACAATGTTATTAAAGGGGCAGTAATGTCACAGATTGGAGTTTCTAAAACTGTCATCCACCACAGATACTCATATATAGAGTTATATAAAGAGATTGAAACTCTGACCCAAAGGCATATTCCACCTATCATCTGGTGCTCTGAAGTTTTTTTATTCATATATTATGGCAAAGACCAGACCAAGTGCTGTGAAAACAGGCAGGTGAGATGTGCATTCTCCATCAGTCTGATTCTTCTGGGAAAGCAGCAGTAGCTTATAGCATCATAAAGTGAGAACGCATAACAGACACCTTTACATTTCTGTTCAGGACTGAACCTTAGTTACGATATCTACCAGAAAGAACATTGACTGAAGGTCCCTGAAGTCCCACTCTGCTGTGATTCACTGCAGAGCTACTCCTATATATATAGTGAGAGTTTTGTCTGTACTGCAGAATACTAAGACCAGTGTTAAAGTTTGATCATTGTGACAGGCGCTACTTAAAAATATACATTGTTCTAAAATTAGCAACCAAATGAAGAATGCTAAATTTACAGCTTGAAAACTTAAGCCTGTCTTTATCGAAATCACCCACAGCATTGGCAGAAATGGAAAGCTCATGCTTTCCACCCTGCAATAGCTTCACGTCCCACCTGCGAGCACAGAGAGCAGTCTCCGTGAGCAGTGAACAGCGCTGTACTCACATAGGCTTTCATTAATGTATCAGCACTAGGAGTTGTACAGTTGTACTATCCTTAGTCACACTGCCACAGCTCTAAAGTTGCCTGACTGACCTTCGTGGTACCTCGCTAGGGTTAACAAACACTGAACTTCCACACTGCAGACACTTAGCAGGGCAGGTGTCTAATCGGAGAGATTTTAAAAATGGCACAAGCACAAGGCAGCATAAACCGTGCTTTCCTCCTCGATTGCCTGTCCTTACGTAACCAGTTACCCAGTGCTTATCCATGATCCGGGCAGCCGTGCCCGAGCCCAGCCTGGGCGAGCTGTCGGAGCCCCCCGGGCCCTTTCCCTTCCCTTCCCTTCCCTGCCCACCCATCCCGCCTCACCTCGGCACCAGCGCTCCCGCTGCTCGTGCGGACAGACGGACCCAGGGCGAGCGGAGAGGGTACCGGGAGGAGAAGGACGCGCCTTGAAGTCAAGCCCTCTAAACTGGCACAGCAGGCTTAAACCCACACTGGGGTATGGATTAGCCCTGGTGACGAGATATAACAGCTGGGCTTACGGCAGTGCTTTTGAGCGATTAGGGCTTGGTTCAGTACCTCCACATACACAGCCTCCCGGCAAAGAGCCAGCACCTCTCGGCTCAGCCAGACTTCGGCACCTGTTTAAAAGTCCCTCCAAAACACGAAAACTTTGTTTTCTAACCCGCAGCTGAGCCGGCCCTTCGCAGAAAGGCAGGTATTTGAGGCACCGGGACTTTCTGCAGGGGCACGGGGGGTTCGCTCCGGTCGCGCCCCGGCCGAGCCCGCCCGGCTCGGGGCTGTCCCGGCTCTGTCCCGCCGGAG